ATACTTCTGGGAAAAGGAGGAGTGATCAGTTGGACACAGAAGCTGTTCAAGAAAATACAAGTCGTTTTATGAACATGAGCAAAAGATTTAAGAGCAGAGAAGTGTGTGATGTGAAAATAGATGAGACTTTGGCTACAAACATAACAGATTTGTTTAGAAATGGAATGAATGAAGATCAATATTCAGATCTGATTAAAGATGAAAACAATGCAAGACCAGAAAACTGGAAAGGCCTAAAAGTTGTGAAGACAAACCAACTTGTTTGGGATATTATATCACAAGAAGCAAAAACTATTGATAGAAAAATGCAAAACATCGAAACCTCTGTTGTTAAAGGTTCCATTATCTTGGCCAAAGTTGTAAACAAATTAGCAGACTTGGAGAATGAATTGGATGATTCACATAAAACAAAATTGGGAAAGATAATAGATGAATGCAATGATAGTTTAGCACTCTTTGGACATGCAAATAGACAAGTGAACATGACAAGACGAGAGCTTATCAAGCCTGAATTGAGATATGAATACTTGCATTTGTGTGCACAAACTGTACCTTATACGTCATGGTTATTTGGTGACGATATTTAAAAAACGGCAAAAGAAATTGAAGATTGCAGTAAGATTGGTCATAAGCTGCAGTACAATAACAGAGGAGGATCATTCAGAGGTCGAATGAGAGGAAGATTTAGAGGTCGCAGACCAAGAGGATGTGGAAATTATAGCAATTCTGCATATAATCCAAATTACGGATATTCGAACAGAAACAGTGGTGGAGTTAGTGGACAATTTTATCCAAAAAACTCCAAGAAGAGCAACACTCAACAGAAAAGCAAGACTCAATAAATGATGAGGTTAGTGAGAAAAGTGTTGAATTTTATGCAGGTAGATTGAAATATTTTTCCAAAGAATGGGAAAAAATTACATCAGATAAAAATGTATTACAGACTAGTTGAAAACTGTAAAATAGAATTTGTAGATGATGTAGCTCCAACAAAATGTAATTTGTATGAACCTAAATTTAATTCAGTAGAATCTGAAGTGATAGATCAAGAAATTGAGAGTTTATTAAAAATGGGAGCTATTGTTGAGGCAATTCCTGGACCAGATCAATTTCTGTCATCTATATTTGTTAGACCAAAGAAAAATGGGGAATACAGAGTTATTCTTAATTTAAAAAATCTAAATGAATATGTAGTATACCATCATTTCAAGATGGATACTTTTGAATCTGCAGTAAATCTGGTCAAGGAAAATTGTTTTATGGCATCAATTGACATAAGACATGCCTATCATACAATTCCAATAGCAATGGAGCATCAAAAATATTTGAGATTTAGATGGAAAGGGAAAATATTTCAATATACCTGCTTACCATTTGGTTTGTCATCAGCACCTAGAATATTCACAAAGGTTCTCAAACCAATCTTTGCAAAGCTTAGAACATTAGGTTATCTTAGCATGACTTACATTGATGATGTTTTACTGTTTGGAGATACTATTGATGAGTGTAGAATGAATGTGAACATCACAAGAGAATATCTTGAAAAATTTGGTTTTGTGATTCATGGAAAGAAAAGTCAATTTGAACCCAAGAAGTGTATCACATTTTTGGGAAATGTAATAAATTCTGAAAGAATGACTATTGAATTGGCTAAGGAGAAGAAAGACATTATTTATGAAGAATGCAAGTGTTTAATGAATAAAGATCGCGCTAAAATAAGAACTGTAGCTCGAGTCATTGGACTGATTATTTCGAGTTTCTCAGCTACAGAATTAGGAAAATTACATTACAGATTGCTAGAAACAGAGAAAATAAAGCATTTAAAAGAAACTAAAGGGAATTTTGATTCCTTAATGCCAATCACTATAAAAATGAAAGAAGAACTAAGTTGGTGGTGTTCCAATATTCATTCTCAGATAAGACTTATCTCTAGAGGTAACCCAGAGATTACTATTCAAACTGATGCATCTTTGTTAGGTTGGGGAGCAATATGCACACAAGATAATATCAGAACTGGTGGAAGATGGAAAGAAGAAGAAAAAGTGAATCACATAAATTACTTAGAAATGCTTGCAATTTACTTTGCTTTGAGATCATTTGTGAATATTGTGAAAAACAAATATGTAAGAATATTATCAGATAATACTACTGCCATTAGTTATATTAATAATATGGGTGGCATAAAATCTCAAGTTTGCAATAAACTTGCAGTGGAAATATGGGAATGGTGTACTAAGAGAAACATTTGGTTGAAGTGTTCTCATATTCCAGGGAAAAATAACATAGAAGCAGACAAATTATCCAGAGAATTCAATGATCAAGTGGAATGGCAATTAGACCATGATATATTCTTACAAATTTGTTCAAAGCTAGGTTGTCCAGATATAGATTTGTTTGCATCAAGACTCAATGCACAAGTTGAAGTGTTTTGCTCATGGAAACAAGATCCAGAATGTAGTTATGTTGATGCATTTCCATTGAATTGGAGAACTTTTGATTATGTTTATATTTTTCCACCTTTTAGTTTGATGGGCTTGTGCATCAAGAAGATTCGGGAAGACCGGGCAAGAGGGATTATCATTGCCCCATTATGGCCCACTCAGACTTGGTTCACAGGATTAATGAAAAGTATAGTCAAGAATCCATTATTACTTCCGAGAAGGAAGGATCTACTTCTAAACCCTCACAAAAAGGAGACTCATCCTCTGTGGGAAAAAATGACCTTGATTGCATGCCAAGTGTCCGGCGAGCTTACAGAAATTTTGGATTTTCAAAAACAACTACCTCCATTATTATGGCATCATGGAGAACCGGTACTAAAAAACAATATCAAACGTTCATCAAAAGATGGTTTCAGTACTGCTCTGAATGGAAAATTAATCCAGTTTCACCATCTATAAATAATATTTTGGAATTCTTGACTTTACTTTTTGAAAATGGATTGAGTTACAGTTCACTCAATACCGCTCGGGGGGCTTTGTCAGCATTGGGCATAAAATTAGATGGAACCAGTGTTGGATCCCATGCTCTTGTTATTAGATATATGAAAGGTGTTTATAACATTAGACCAACTAAACCCAAATATTCTGGAACATGGGATGTATCTTTAGTTCTACGACAGTTGAAGAAATGGTCTCCTGTAAAGACTTTAAGTTTGAAACAATTAACATTGAAACTGGTAATGTTAATTGCTTTAACAAATGCTGCACGAGCTCAGTCAATTCATCTTATTTCTGTAAATAATATGAAAAAGTGCTTTAATGAATACATATTTGAATACTCCGGACTGCTAAAGCAATGTGGACCGGGTTATAAAATGCCTGTTGTACATATGAAAGCACACCCTCCAGATAGGAGACTTTGTATATACGTTGTGGTGAAGGAATATTTGTTAAAGACAGCACCTATTAGAAATGGAGAACAATCACTTTTATTAAGTTATGTTAAACCTCATAAGGCAGTTACGAGAGACACAGTGTCCAGATGGATCAAAATGGTGATGAAACTTTCTGGGGTTAATACAGATGTATTTGGATCGCACAGTGTAAGATCTGCTTCAGTGTCAAAAGCAAAATCGGCAGCTGTGCCAGTAGATGAAATTTTAAGGAAGGCTGGGTGGACTAATGCTACAACATTCTCCAAATTCTATGAAAAAGACATTATTGTTGAAAAAGAAAGTTTTGCTTCAGGTGTGCTTTGCAAGAAAAATTAGAGTGGGAGACAAGTTCTCAGTAAGTAGAATAGTATTATGATCATGTATTTTTCTTGTGATTTGAAACATTTGATCATAATGCGCTTTGAAGTCTCACATAATTCCGGAAGTAATTATGATGAAATAGAATTTAAAAATTTGACGAGACTTACCTTCAGTTGGTTAAGTTGAAGTCAGATTGTAATTCTATGAGTCATTATAATTACTGTAGGGATTATGTGCCTCCCACCACTTCCTGCACAGGGTTTTCAGATATTCATACATATCAGACCAATAATTCAAAAAGTAATAATAATTTAGGTAATTATGTACATTGACAAAATGATTACATTATGACCAAATGATTAAGTTTGAAGACTGAGGTTGCACATGCGTACTACTATCTCACATAATCCCTACAGTAATTATAATGACTCATAGAATTACAATCTGACTTCAACTTAACCAAGGTAAGTCTCGTCAAATTATTAAATTTTGCTCCAAATTGAATATAACTTGGCACACAAGTAGACTATACTAAGATACATAATTCTGTTTATTGATTTTTGATTTCTTTGATCAGTGTTGCCATGGTTTTTTTGTGAAATTCTTTTAAAATGCTATTCCTCCTACAGTTTTGCTCCAATTTTAATCAAACTTGGCACACAAGTAGACTACACTAAGATATAAAATTTCTTTTTATCTGTTTATTTTTATTTTGATAAATAGTGTTGCCATGGTTACTAAAAATAAAAATTTATGTGAAATTCTTTTAAAATGCTACTCCTCCTACAGTTTTGTCTAATTTCAATACAATTTGGCACGCAAGTAGATTACACTAAGGTACATTAGTCTCTTTGTTGGTTTTTGATTTCAATGAGCAGCGTTGCCATGGTTACTAAAAATAGAAATTTCTGTGAATTCTTTAAAAATGGTACTCCAACAGTTTTGGTCTGATTTCAGTATTACTTGGCACCCGGTAGACCACAATATAATACATAATTCTTTGTATTGGTATTTGATTTCAAGACTAAACCGAGGATCATTATTCTGTTTATTGCTTTTGCATAGTTTCAAGTTCCTTTGTTAAAAGTTCATAACAGTAGAGGTAGTCTCGTCAGAGACTTCTGGTTTAAAAAAAAAAATTAGCTAAGATTAAAATGAATTTTAGAACAAATTTTACCCTTTTATCGACAATATCAAAAATATATTTTTGAAAAATTCTTTGATATTACCAGTGTCATTAATGACATACCCTAAGGTATACCGTATTTACAACACTATGAAAAATTATGTTTTCCACTTCCAGTCTCCAGATGGTGTTGCAGCCCTTTAAGAGTTTCTACAGTCAGCTGACAGATCCTAAATACAATGCTACCACTGATGTGTATGCTTCCATGTTCTTGTGTGACTTCATCAATTTTCTCATTCTTGTGTTTGGTTACTGGGCATTTGGTCCAGAGGTACATAAATTTATGATTTCTTTGACTCTTTCTGTAATTTGATCACAACATGTATTTCACCTCAATAAGATCATGTTCCTGACTGAAGGTTTTAATCATTACAAAGTGATTATGATGAATAGATGATCTGCATAACATTTCGATTTTAGCAAACCTCTGGTGGGGACAATGTTACAGAGTACATCTCGGAGGACAGGGTAAGGCTGCCTGATGATCAATAGTTCTGTAAATATAAGGAATTAACTATAAAAAAAAAACAATAAGAGAAAGTAGGAGTGGCTTAATTTTAAAAAATGTTCCTCCTGTTTTCCAGATTCCAGTTCCATTCTTGATTATGCTGTTGACTCAGTTTATTCTGATCATTGTTGACCGAGCCCTTTATTTGAGGAAGAACATCCTAGGAAAATTCATCTTCCAGATTCTGCTAGTCATAATTATCCATGTGTGGCTTTTCTTCATCCTGCCATATGTCACAAAAAGGTCAGCACCACATATTTCTAGCCAAGTTAAGGGGGAAAAGGGGGGGGGGTTAGAGAAGGAGAAAGGAGGTTCTTATTCAGTGTCTCTACTTGCAATGTGCTTCTCATCATCTGACTTTCAAAGATTTGAGCAGAATTAAAAAAAAGAAAATGCAGAAATTAATAAGCTTTGTAACAATTTTATATTCAATTTTACATTCAAAAATTCAATGTATTGTTCAAAGAGACATTTCTTTAGTTGGGGAAAGGGAGGGGTTGCAAGATTAGATGAACAGTTTAAATTGGAGCTTGTAGTTCAATATTCATAGATCATATGTGGCTACACTTTGTGTTAGCTTTACAATATGACTTTAATTTAATACTATCTGTGGTCAGTTATAAGAATTTAATAAAGATAACGCTGCTTTAAGAGAATTTAAGAATGATTACTTGTAAGATTGTTTTTGTCTGCTTATAATTCTCTTATATACTTTATTATTTATAATAGATGATTTTCTGAGAACACCCTAGCCCAGCTATTTTACTTCTTTAAGTGCCTGTACTTTGTTATTTTTACAGGAGATTTTCTGAGAACACCCCTGCCCAGCTATTTGACTTCTTTAAGTGCCTGTACTTTATTATTTTTTATAGGAGATTTTCTGAGAACACCCCAGCCCAGCTATTTTACTTCTTTAAGTGCCTGTACTTAGTTATTTTTTACAGGAGATTTTCTGAGAACACCCCTATCCAGCTATTTGACTTCTTTAATTGCCTGTACTTTGTTATTTTTACAGGAGATTTTCTGAGAACACCCCAGCCCAGCTATTTTACTTCTTTAAGTGTCTGTACTTTGGGTTGTCAGCCTACCAGATAAGATCCAGCTATCCCACTAGAATACTTGGGAATTTCCTCACCAAGAAATACAACTATCTCAACTTGTTCCTCTTTAAAGGGTAATTACTGTATAAACATGGTTATATTGAGGAATTAATAGGTTGACAATAACTTTATTGTAGAAATTTATATTAGTGCTTGAAAACTGTAAAAATCTTCTAGCATTTATTGCTTCTAATTAAACTTTTTGAGAACTCTAGTAAGTTGAAATTTACAGTCTGTCATATTTTGTTCTCCACAACAAGAATTATGAATCTGAGAAGAACAGTAGATTTACTATGAGAAGAAGTCTCTATTGATCATTATTATGCTTCCTGTCAGCTTGTCTCTACATAGTCAATACCCAACTATTTTCACATAGTGGTCTAAGGATTTATATAGCGTAAGCATACTATGCCGAAATAGAGCACGGCTTCTTTTTCTGAAGAAAATCCGACAGCGCCCACGCCGGGGATCGAACTCACGACCCCAAGATTATCAGTCCGACGCGCTACCGATTACGCTACAGACGCCGTTATCTATAACACTGTATTATAATATATATAAACTTAGTTTCAAAGATTTTACACTAAAAGAAAAAAAAATAAACAAAATAATTTTTATAAAATAGTATCTTGCAATTTTTTACCCTTCACACAACTAAATTTCTCAACTATCTGTACATGGAACATTCAAAATATTAAAGACAAAAGATCATGACGTACATGTAGCACAATGTGACGTCATAATAGGGGTGTACTAACATGAATGTAAGAGGTGATGAAACATTGGAAAGGGAGAAAATATTGTCGTTTTTATACAACAGTCAGCATAATAATTACAATAGTGTTGTACTTTGCATGCACTATGCCTAAATAGTAGTCAGGGTTTGACACATAGTGCACTCGCCTCCGGCTCATGCACCATGTGTCAAACCCTGACTACTATTTAGGCATAGTGCATGCAAAGTACAACACTATTATATAACTAGACCCATGTGTTTATTCATTGTTTGTAGATTCCTGGCCATCCCCTTCCTGTTGGAGTTGAGGGTCCTTATGGACTGGATCTGGACAGACTCTACCCTGGCAATAGGAAGCTGGCTACAGATGGAGGACATCTATGCCAACATATATGTCCTGAAGTGCTGGAGGGAGGCAGAAAGGGTAACACATTATAAACAACTCAATTCATCAAAGTTTTGTTCGTTACTTCCTCACAGAAACACAGAGCTACATGTAGAAAGTTTGTTAATTGATAATCCTGTTGTAAAGATATGCATCCAGAATAGAATAAAATGCTTTGATATTTATGTGAGAGCTCTAACTTTACAGAAATACCCGACCCCTCGTTCTCAGAAGAAAGGCTCTCTGATTAAGTATGGCGTTGGAGGATTGTTGCTGGTTCTCGTAATCTTTATTATCTGGTTCCCGTTGGTTATCTTCTCCTTTGCTAACACAGTTTATGTCAGTAACCCACCAGTTGCTGTGACGGTTTCTATTGCCATTGGAGGATTTCAGGTCAGTTTTTGGCTTATGTGAGCTGATGTAAGTTTATCATTCAGCTGTGTCTGTTGTTCATTGTTGTCCCTCAGTTTTAACATTTCCTCTCCATGTGATTTCAACCAAACTTGGTTTGCAACATTCTTGGGTGTAGGGATTCAGTTTTTAAGGAAAGGACCAAGTATCCTTTCAAGGGGAGATAAATATATGTAATGGTCAAAATAAAGGTGGATTGTCAATAGATCTTTTTCTGTACAATCATTGCCTCAGAAAAAAAAAACTGGATGAAAACTTTTAGTATTGTGTTTAAAGCATATCTTAAAATTTGTTCATGATTCAAGGCATAGAGGGGCCAGAACAAAAAAAATAAAATTTAACACAGGAATATAGAAGAATTCTTTTAAAACAAGTGAAAACGGTAATTTTCAACACAGTAATTTTCAACTTTGAAATGCCTTCAGTCAACAAATTATATCACTTCTGAAGTATGGGATAACAAGAAGTGAGTATCATATATTTACTCTATACAGAGAAATTTTCACCCGTTTTTATTTTTCGCCACTTTCACCCTCCATGTCAGAATGCAAATTCAAAATGGGTATTGTTTTTCCATAAAGGAAATGCAACAAGACTTTTAAGACAACTGTGTCTAAGTGAATTTAAAACAGGGCAAAATCCATTTGCAAGTATGATAGGGTGAAAATAACCTGGTATACAGTTTTGCAAGAGAAAGAAAGCAATGGAATTCTGGTAAGGGTCATGATTGATGACCCCCTTCAATGTTGTGTTTGAAGACAGATAACCATGTAAATTCTGTATATTGGGTATTTTTAGGGATTGTTCTTTTTTTCCAGATAGGACAAATCCACAAAACTTACAATTGCAAAATATTCCTAAAAAGTTAGATATTCTATTCAATAATCGCATGCAAGTGTTTTTATTTCCAAACATGATACTGTAAACCAACTATTATTCACGTCATCTTTTATTTGTTATTCGTCTGTTTGAAATCAATCTGCAACGATTAATTTTCGCATTTGAGGAAACATTCTCTACAAATACAAAGCAAAATAAAGAGTTCGTGGTGTTATTATACCCCCCGCAAATGAAGTTTAGGGGGGGTATATTGGAATCAGCATGTCCGTCTGTCTGTCCGTCTGTCTGTAGACGAGATTTTGTCCAGACCATTTCTTGGAAACTGTTGGAAGGATTTGTCTGAAAATTTGTACACTTATTATTCACCATATGAAGGTGTGCACCTGGTATTTTCATTATGATTGGGTAATTATTTTGCATTTTACAGGAGTTTTTTTTCATTTTTATTATGTGGTTTTGTCTGGATCTGTTCCCAGAGACTATTGCATAGATTTGTATGAAAATTTGTACACTTATTATTTACCATATGAAGATGTGCACCTGGTATTTTCAACATTATTTGATAATTTTTCTGCATTTTACAGGTGTTTTTTTTTTTAATTCAATTTATTGACTTAGTCATTTTGGGTTCATGTCTAAGGTTTGAGACATAGAATCTAGAACATCTGTACAAAAATGTGAACTACAGCTTAAAACTACTCATTAGAACTAAAAAAAACCCCACAAAGTATTAAAAACAGTTTTTACATTACACAGCAGATAGTGTAAATCCATTTGTCCCTATAAGTGGACATGCATCCAGTTAAAGATTAATTAATGAGTTCAGTGTGGGAAGCTGTTAGGGCATCTCTGATCAAGCAGGTCTTATCTATATCTCAGGGGAATTGGGCAGAAAGAAATAAAGATCTCTGTTGTGAAGTCTCTTAATTGTAATTTATGTCTGTCAAAATACATAGTTACTAAAACCAGCCTTTTATTTTTAAAATGAGTTTGATATAAAGGTATTAAAATCAATTTGATTTTCTATAATTAATTATGATATTCTTTTTTTCAACAATCAATTTGCAGAGTGTCATGTCTCACAAAGATGGCAGATAGTTGCAAACTATTTTTTCAATGTAATAAAAAACACTGTAATTATTAGTGTTGATGTTTTATTAGGCTGCACCTTAGTTTCATTCATTAAATAAAGTGTCCCACCACAGCATGATATGCCCATCAAATATTGTTAAATTATCATAAACAGTTTAGATTCAATTGTTTTAATGACATCTTAGCGAGACAAGGCAGTCTGCAATTTATTGTACAGATATAAAAATTCAAATAAAAAATGTACAATAAATAATTAGTTTAAATTGTATTATACAATATCATATAACTTTTAATTATTATATACAATATCAAATTAGTTTTAATTACATCAAATTTATCTTGAAAGTAAGACTAGCCAACAAGAACAATTCAATACAACACAAGCAATTAATTAAGAGACTGATTCCTTTTGCCCAATTCCCAAGAGATGTAGATAACACCTGCTTGATCAGAGATGCTCTACCAGTTATCTCCTCACACTAAACTCATTAATTTCTCTCTAATTTGACATGCAATTTTCTGCTATCAAAATTTTCCTTGACCAGTGCCTGATCATTACACCCATGGGAGAGGTGGAATTTTTGTTGTTACAGATTGCTGTAAAGAACATAATGAAAAAAATAAGACTAGTATTTTCTTGATTTAACACTTTTTTAATAAAGATACTGCAATACTCTGACATCTTTTGGGACTGTGTAATTTAAAAGTTAAAAGACATAGTTTTTTGATTCTAAGTCTAATGGTTTTCTAGTTATGATTTTTCCATATCTGGCCATAGCGTCTTTATTAAAGGTCAGAGCGACCTGGTTTTAATGTGCGACACACCTTCTACCCTAGATGTATCAGCTGACAAAGTTAGATAATTCTAGGCCTAATAGTATTAAAGTTATGAGCCGGACATGAAAAAGCTAACGGACGGACAAACATGAACGCTATAACATAATACGTCCCGTCGTAAGACGGACGTATAAAAATATATAATGAGTAATTAAATTTTCACTGTAAATGTTTAAGGAAATTGTGAACACCTCTCACATCTAGAAAACATTAGTGATTTGGTACTTTCTCTGAAAAACCCAGCGGGGGGTATTTGTCCCTTTTGGACAGTTCTAGTTGTTCGCGAGTTAATGTGGGTCGTGAAACTCGCTGATATTTCTCGCACGCTAATAAATGTTGGTTTACAGTAAGTGGTTGTATGTCAGTCAACCTGATCTAATGTTATTTCATACCTGCTTGCTCTGTATTCTAAAAATAAATTATGCTTACTGATGTATGAAATAAAAGTTATTTGAAAATAATTTATGAAGGCTAATTTTAAGATAGTGGAGCTTAGTAGGAGTTCTAATGCACTGTGGGTCAACATGTCATTAAATGAATTTAAATCTTCGCAAAACATGGTGGTGATTTGCCAAATCCTTAGAAAAACTGTAGTCTTATAAAATAAATTTTTCGGTATAATTCAGCCACAGAAATAAAAAATACAGAAATTAGTTTGTTACTTTTCAGGGATCAAATCACAAAAATTTCCTACTGCAGAAAATACCCATTATATGGTAGGCAAATGTATTTGCTGCAGCTAGGTTCTGATTAGAAAATTTTTCAGTTTCACTTTTTGAAGCCATTCTGTAATGAACTTTTTTTTTTTTTAATGAAACCACCTTTTTGTCTGTTGCAGCCCTTATTCAAAGTGCAGGCACAACAACAAAGCATAGCAACCCTAAGTACAGCTCAGTACAATGACCTACTGACCTACTTCAATGATATGGAAAACAAGGTCAGTCTGAATTTTCATGTAAATACTGTTTTAAAATAGAAAATAGGCATGTTTTTGTTAAATCCATGTAGTACATGTAAATAGCTATTTTTACTACAAAGTCAGTTATCTCCAAATGTACAATATTAGCAAAATCTTTGATATGTCTTCAAGGAATTTGTAATTATTTCCAGAAAGCTGTGAGTAACCTTAACAGATATGAGCCTCAGGACATCACTGTGATAAAGCTGAATGGAAAGTCTACATCTGTCTGGGGAATTAGTCCTCCCAGTAAAACAGAGCTTCGTAATTTCCTCAACACAACTAAGGGGGCACAGATAGAGTTTGAGGTCACCTTTGTGAGGTATAGAGGAAAAAATAGCATTTCTTTAAAATTTGGCAGGCTTTACTATTTACTCAAATGCTTACTTTACACAATACTTTATGTAAGTTAGAATCTTTGTGAGCTTTCTGATCACCTGCTGTCAACCACCCATCTGACTGCCCGTCTGTCCATAAACTTTTCACATTTTTGACGTCTTGAGAACCAGAGGTCAATTTTAATCAAAGTGAAAACAAAGCATCCTTGCATGAAGGAGATTCTAAATCATCAAAATAAAGGGCCAATCCCCCTTCCAAGGGGAGATAGTCAAGAAAAGGCAAAAATAGGATGGGGTCTTTAAAAAATCTCAAGAACCACTGGGCCAGAAAAGGTAAAAACTTGCATGAAAGCTTTCTGAGGTATTGTAGATTCTAAATTGTTCAAATCATGGTTCCCAGAGGTGGGTTGTGACCACAGTAGGGGATTGAAGTTGTACATTGGAAATATATATGAAAAAATCAGAGAAAATAATCTTTTAAAGAACCACTTGACCAGAAAAGGTGAACCTTTATATGAAAGCTTCCTGTAAATTCTAAACTGTTCAATTCATGCCCCCAAACCTTCTCCTGCTTGGTTAAATGAGAGGCCACAGAAGAGGATCAAAGTTGTACATTGGAACTTCTCATGAACGACTGGGAGAGAAAAGATACAAGCTTCCTGATAAAATGTAGATTTTAAATTGTTCAAACCCCAGAGGTAAAGTGGGGCCACTAGGGGATCAAAGTTTTACATTGACTTACATATTAAGAAAGACAAGAATGAAACTGGATCAAGAAGGACGATAGAACCATGAATTTGCATACATTTCTTAAGTTGTATGGATTCATTTTTTTCCAGATTATAGAAACTTGGTTAGAGTTGGCTTAAATTGTGGTCAAATACTGCATAATGCATGAATACAGGAAAAGAATTTTCTTCTACATAATTCAGGCTATGTTTATCATATTGATATTTAATCATCCCCATGTTTTGTGGATTCAGAGAGCCCTTAAATTAAGGTGGGGCACAATTTTTTATGGGAATGTAAAGGAGAAAAAAATCATTTAAAAATCTTAAGCTCAGCAGGGCTAAAGCTATTCAGGTGAGCTCTGTGTCCCATGGGCCTCTTTTTAAGATTTTTAAGATTTAGATTCAAATTCTTTCAGTAGTTTTCTTCTTAGTGTGAAGCTATTAGATATCAATGTCATGTAATATTGATCTCCTTCAGGAACCCCACGTCTAGTGATGCCAGTCAATCCTTAACGGCTCATCTGATGGATACCTTGGATGATACGACAAGAATGAAACTGGCTAAGCACCTAACAGACACCAGTAACTCTGTGTAAGTCATACGATGTCAAGTGACTCAAATCATCCAGTAAGTCTGTGTAAGTCATACAATGTCAAGTCACTCAAACCATCCAGTAAGTCTGTGTAAGTCATACAATGTCAAGTCACTCAAACCATCCAGTAACTCGGTGTAAGTCATACAATATCAAGTCACTCAAACCATCCAGTAACTCAGTGTAAGTCATACAATGTCAAGTCACTCAATTCATCCAGTAAGTCTGTGTAAGTCATACAATATCAAGTCACTCAAACCATCCAGTAACTCTGTGTAAGTCATATAATATCAAGTCACTCAAACCATCCAGTAACTCAGTGTAAGTCATACAATGTCAAGTCACTCAAACCATCCAGTAACTCTGTGTAAGTCATACAATATCAAGTCACTCAAACCATCCAGTTACTCAGTGTAAGTCTTACAATGTCAAGTCACTCAAACCATCCAGTAACTCTGTTTAAGACTTAGAATATCAAGTCACTCAACCATTCAGTAACTCTGTGTAAGACTTACAATATCAAGTCACTCAACCATCCAGTAACTCGGTGTAAGTCGTACAATATCAAGTCACTCAAACCATCCAGTAACTCTGTGTAAGACTTACAATATCAAGTCACTCAACCATCCAGTAACTCTGTGTAAGACTTACAATATCAAGTCACTCAACCATCCAGTAAGTCAGTGTAAGACTTTCAATGTCAAGTCACTCAACCATCCAGTAACTCTGTGTAAGACTTACAATATCAAGTCTCTCAAACCAGCTATTCAAGATATTTTAACCAAAATTCCTTCACTGATACAAATTGATAAGAATAATTCAACTGTGTCGTAATTTTAAAAAAATAAAAAAAGAGGAATAGTGGGATCAAGGCCATAGTAAAGTTCAAGGTCATAAAATTATGATAGTTGAATTGCCCTAATTAATTTGTATCGGTATATAAATTTCAGTTAAAATACTGTATACAGGAAAATTTTTGTGCCCATTTTATTTTCGCACCTTTCACCTCATCGCATGTGAACGAATTTAGAACGGGCGATTTCAGAGTAAACAACATTATCTCTTTAACACATTTCTGTCTGGATGAATTTAAAATTCGGCAAAATTGTTTTGAAAGTGTGAATGGGCGAAAATAACCCTGTATACAGTATCTCGAACAGTTTATATGGTGTTGACCCCATTTTTCCTCATTTTGCGTTTTTATTTTCAAAGAAACTATTCAAGATATTTTCATCAAACATAATACAAAGATACAAATTGATTAGAGTTATGTTACTGTGTCAAAATATTTTTAATATTTTGAACTTGACCTTCCATATGACCTATACCTCACTATTAATTGTTTTTCATTTAGCACAGATTAGAAGAAACTGTTCATAATATTTTCATCAACTTCATGCACATGCACTAATACAAATTGGTGAGAGCTATTCAATTGTGTCATAACTTTCTATGACCTTTTTTATTACTTTGACCTTTTCCTTACCTTAATTGAACTTCACTCATGAAGATTTTTTTTAATCAATTTCATATATTAAGATAACATCGGTAAGAACAATTCAACTCTGCCATTATTTTTCTACCTCAACTTTTCTAATGACCTTGACCTCATGCACTGTTCTTTCATTTTGTTATTACCTAAGTTTAAAAAAAAAAAAGAGTCTAAGATATATTCATCAAACTTTGTGTATCGATACAAATTGGTGAGAATTTTTCAAATGTGTCAAAAATTTTGATCTTGATTTTCTTGTGACCTTGAATTTCACATTTTTTCCTCATTTTATTCTTAGTTCGTCTTATTTAGTTCAATAAAGGATTAAATCAAAAAAATGCTCTTTACATTGATAACTAAAGAGATCATACATAAATTTGGGAAATATATCATAATAAACTTGAAACAATGAGACTTTATTTAACTGTTACATGTAGATAATAGATGGGATGCATCAATATCAGCCTAAGAAGGAAGGTATTTTCTTTTACTATTGCAAATGTGCCATGGGCAGGGCATTCATGTCCTATGGACATATTTCTAGTTTACATTTGATCTTGATTATTTTCTCTTGTTATGACATGAACTTATTTAACTTTATTTTAATTAATTGATTGCATGGCATGGAGGGACTATTCATGCCAATCAGCCTGTTACTAAACTTATTTGTGAGTGATAAAGGAAGATTGATGAGCTGGCTAAGCTAGTAATTGTTTTGTCTAATGAGATTTTATATTTTCATACAGGACAATTCTCAAGTTGTTTTCCCGCTTCTTCCGACTAACAAAGAAGGCATCTAATGTCCTTAATTGTAAGTACACATTCCTGTTATAATATATTAATTTCAATATTCTTGTGGTAATTGGCCAGATTGGAAAGTTCAGATCTAAGGATTAATGTTCATCCATTTGTCTGTATTTACAGTTGTGTAAAGCTATTATTTTATCTCTGTTGGCTCAGTTTTATTGTACATATAGTAAGATTGCTTAAAATGTCAGTTCAGAGTTTTAAGAATGTTTTTGTCAAAGTCAGGTCAATTAAAGGACAACAAGGGATTCTGATCAACAGAAGAGACTTTTTGAGACATGTAATGTTGCTTTCTCTATGTAGCTCAGGCTTTTTGTTTTCAGAAGCCTGTGTTAAAATACTGTAAACATAACCTTTTTCCACAGAATTACAATTTCACGGATTTCATGGATTGCCATGTATATGTCATAAAAACCCTTTAAGTGTGCTGTACGTGACAAATTTCCAGGGAAATTTTGAGACTGTGTAAATTAATCCCATGCAGAAAAAAGTACGATTATACAACCTTTTTTGTAGTTATTCCAAAAAGTAATGTCTCCATGCAACTGAGCATGAATAATGTGACAGAATGGTGGAATGTTAAGGAGCTGATCTCTGATTCACAGCCTGAGCGCTTGTGTCCCGACCCTCAAGTAAAAAACTGTGGAAATTCATCTGATGACCTCACGCTAATTACCCTTAATGATAGAGCAGCACCTGCTGGCTTCTCCCTCATCACAGGATATGGGTAAGATTTCTCTTGTAGTGTCAATGTTTTAAAATTTAAAATTGTCAATGTCGTGTTTTAATGCAGCTTATTAATATGCAAATAACATTTACCTTGCATAAATTAAATATTTGTTTGTATTGTACATTATGTGTGCATGCAGCTTTGTTTAATTCTGGTTTATCCTTGGCTGTATCTTCACATTTTCATTGAGAGCATTTATTTTATTGTCATGGAAATTTTGCACAGGTAGCTTGTTTATTGCACTTATCATATATTGGAAAAATGCTACATCTGTAATGTATTATATATAACCTGTTAATATTTCAGTTAGACTGCTTTGTGCTTGGTAGTATCTTGTGATAATTTTTAGTACACTGTCCTTTGGTTTAGATGCATTTATACTGAGTTACTGTAAATATTTTGATATGAGATATAAGATTTCTGTTTGTGACATTATAGAGGTTTCCTTTTGAAGCAAAGTGATATGATAACTTTGCATTTATACAGTTAAACATTGGTATCTCGAACACAGACATCTCGAATACCATGGATATATCCAAGTGATTGGGAAGTCCTAACCACATATTTTTAAAGTATTTTACCCTCAATATCTCGAACCCTCGGATATCTCGGAAGTTTTTTGTCAGTCCCATCAAGTTCAAGAGGTTTGACTGTAGTTTGAAAGAGATTAATACTTGGCATACAAATAGTTTTGAGTCACTTAGTTGACATATCGTTACGAGTTGCTGTCATATTCATCTTCTTCTCTAAATTGTCGGAATTAATTTCAACCAATTTTAACACAAAGCATTTATGGATGAAGGGTGCAAAAATTCTTAATTTCATGGTCCCAGCCCCCTGGGGGTTAAAACCGTCAAAATTAAAGCAATCTTTTTGTATATTGATTTGGACATCCAGCAGACAAACTTTTAACTTGATGTTAATGAGTAGCTAGCCCTTTACTAAGAGTAAGATATTTATGACCCCTGTGTTAAGACCTCAGGAAGGCATCAAGTGGTTATATATTGAAAATTCATTATAATAATCCAAAGAAAATCTTTATTCTCAGACAAGCAGGAACTGTTGGTACAGTTATGATCAGCTATGAAATTCATGCCCCCTGAGTCCACAGTGTAAGCCCCAGGGTTTGGGCTAAGTTAGCCAGATTACACCTTTGAAAATCTTGTTTACTCATCAAACTGTTTGTATATAAAAAAAAAAATGCACTGTACCAAAATTATGAAATTGGTGTCCATTGAGTCTAGGTTTTAATATGAAGACTTATTATTTGTGTTATTTAAGAAATAATGTATCATTTTTAAACATCTATCGGGATATAAATACGGGTTGGTACGAGATCAAATTCCATAAAGCCCGAAGGGCTTTATGGTAAATTTGATCTCGTACCAACCCGTATTTATATCCGATAGATGTTTTAAAATGATACATTATTACTTATATTTACATTTGTGACTTATTCATATTTTATGTTTTCCTGATTATAATCTTTAACGTGTGAAATGTTTTATTTTTCAAACCCAACGGCACGTATTTGATCCGTTGATTGCGCGTCGACCCTTTATGACGTCACTGGGAAATTACGTCGAATGTTTATGACGCGAGGAACCCGTGTTTATACGGATATAGATACGCATTGCTTTTAATAGTGTTATATAAAAGAAAACATTTGCAAATGTAAATATAAGAATATATAGACTATTATTTGTATTAATTTTGGCTCTCTTTATTAGTGAAATACTTATGTCACTACAAATTATTACTAAACCAAAGTAATGCAGTGCTATAACTTGTGTACAACTTGACTAGCACATTCAGATGCTCAATGTTTGTATAGTTTGCACAGTTAACTTATTTTGGTATTAATATACCTGTATGTAAGAGGTATTGATGATGTTTTATAGATTGTAGTGATTATTTTCAATTTTAATTTGAATTTACTTCTTGCAAAAATTTTAGGCACACATAAGCATAGTGCTAAATATTGATATCTAGGCTTTATGCAGTCATGGCACCTGACCTTGTTAGTTCACCTAAGCCAAAGGCTCAAGTGAGCTTTTCTGATTGAAATTTGTCTGTTGTCAGTTGTTCTTTTCATTGTTGTTGTTATCTTTTCCCAATTTCATCTTTTTCTCCAGAACCAATGGGACAGATTAAACAAAACTTGGCACAGAGATTCCTTAGGTAAAGAGGATTCAAATTTGTACAAATGAAGGGCCACACCCTCTTTCAAGGGAAGATAATTAAGATTAGAAATGGTAAAAAATTAATGGCATCTTATAATAATCTTCACAAACCAGGGGGGTCACCCCGTGGCGCTGTGGTTATAGCATCTGCTCTAGAGTCGCGGAGTAAGTAGTTGATCCTTACGTCGTTGGTGGGACGTGGAGATATATATATGTGGAGACTGGTCCTTCGGATGAGACCGCATAAACCGAGATCCCATGTCACAGTAGGTGCTGGCACGAAAAAGATCCCTGACTGCTCAATGGCCGTAAGTGCTGAATATAGGACAAAATTTGCAGCTCTCCACTGGCAAGTGGTGGCATCTCCATATGAGTGAAAAATTCTCGAGAGGGATGTTAAACAACATACAAACAAACAAACCAGTGGGCTAGAAAAGATGAAAGTTGTGTGAAAGCTTCAACAATTAGTGTAGATTCTTCAAGTTTTCAAATCATGACCCCAGGGGCAAGGTAGGGCAACAACAGGGGATCAAACTTTTACATAGGAATAGATAGGAAAACCCCTTGAAGATCTTCTTCTAAAAAACAGGAGAGCCATGATTAATCATATTAGTATTAAAGCATCCTTAGGTAGTGTAGATTCAAGTTTGTTCAAATAATGACCCCCAGGGGTAGGGTGTGGACACAATAAGAGGTCGAACTTTTACATAGGAAATTTATCGCAAAGAGTCTTTTAAAATCTTCTTCTCAAAAACACCAAAGTCACGACTAGTCATAAAAATATGGAAGCATCCTCAGTTAGTGTAAATTCAAGTTTGTTCAAATCATGAATGTCCAACTGTCGTCAATCATCTGTAAACTTTTCACATATTCGACTTCTCAAGAATCACTGGGCCAATTTTAACCAAACTTGCAACAAAGCATTCTTGGGTGAAGGGGATTTCAAGTTTTTTTCATAGGAAGTGCCACTTTCTCCTTCAAGGAGATAATTAAGAATTTGTGAAAATTTGGTGGCATCTTTTAAATATCTTCTTCTCAAGAACCACTTCGCAAGGAAAGATGAAATTTATGTGAAAGCTTCACTACATACTCTAGATTCAAGTTTGTTCATAACATAACCTTCAGGGTAGGGCAGGGCCACAAGAGGGGGTTGAAGTTTTATAGTTTTATATTTATATATATATATATATAGGAAATGTCTTTAAAAATCTTCTCAAGAACAGCAAAGCCATGATTAGTCATATTATTGTAGAAGTATCCTCAGGTAGTGTATATTCGAATTTGTTCAAATCATGACTCCTTGGGGTTTGGCACAGACACAACAGGGGGCCAAAGTTTTACATAGGAATATATAGTAAATATATTTTAAAAATTTTCTTCTCAAGAACAGTTAAGCCATTATTAGTCATATTAATGCAGAAGTATCCTCAGGTAATCTTCTTCTCAAGAACAATTAAGCCATTGATATTTTTATTTATACAGAAGCAACCTTAGGTATTGTAGAATCGAGTTTGTTCAAATTATGACCCCAGGGGTGGGGGTGGGGGGGCACAACAGAGTGTCAAAGTTTAATACTAGAATATATAGGAATCATCTTGAAAAAAATCTTTTGCTCAAGAACAGCAAAGCCATGATTAGTCATATTATGATAGAAGCATCGTCAGATAGTGTAGATTCAAATTTGTTCAAATTTAAGCTGGGTAGGGTGGGGCAATAATGAGCGATCAGAGTTTAACATAGGAAAAAAAAATCTTTAAAATTCTGCTTGAGAACAGCAAAGCCATGATTAGTAATATTGATATGGAAGCATCCTGAGGTAGTGTAAATTTAAGTTTAATCCCCCCCCCCCCTTCCCATAAACTTTTTCATACTGAACTGATTTCTGCTTTTTCCCAGCCAATGTGCTCAGGTGAGCGATGTGACCCATGGGCCTTGTTATTTTCAAGTCATTACCTATTATAATCATTATTTTAGCAATGTATGATCATTTTTAAACATTGCATGATTTCATAAATCACAAAAAGTTAACATAGGTAGCCAAGAAGAAGATTTTTGCACATTTATAATGCAGTATGTAATTTTGCTGAAATCTTATAAGCACTTATTAAATGAGCTTTTTTGTGTTTGCATGTTTTTTTTTTTTTTAAAGGATGTTTTTTTTTTCCTTTAATTTTTCCCCCTGCACAAGCATGGAACAAATAGGACATATAACTTGTATCAATAAACTGAAATTAAAATTGTTGAAATCAATGACTTTAAGTTGATGGCCACACTTCAAAATGGATTTGGCTTATAAATGGTCTTCTTGCTTTAACTTTTTTTAGCGCTAAAAAGCCTGAGGCTCCAGTCAATTGTAATTTTCACACCTCTGTATTTTTGTTCTGACATTAACAACCTGTTCTTTCAGAATAATTGGCTTGTATGTGACCTTCATTCTCTTGATTGGTCGTATCCTGCGACTAAGCACTACAGGACTGGCCGAGAAGATCACTTACCTGGAGTTACCCTACGTGGATAACATGCTACAGCTCTGTCTAGATGTCTATCTCGTCCGCGAGATGCACGAGTTCAGACTCGAAGAAGACCTGTATGCCAAACTCATCTTTGTGTATCGCTCCTCCGAGACCCGAGTCAAGTACACTCGACTTCCAAAGGAACTTATCATCACAGATGCCAAGAAAAATGACTAGAGATGAGGAATTTTAAAAATGACTCAAACAAATATAAAATCTTACTGAATATTAGGCTTTGTTTTTATAGATTTAACCCATCAATATTTGTGTGTTTTTTCTGGGTTGTTGTTATATGTTAGATATTAGATTCTGTATTTAAAGTAGTGTGACATTCAGTGTTTATATTGGTTATTCTAGTAAATTTATAACATTCTGTATATTCATTTTTTTATTCATATTTACATCTTATTTTTGTATTGAATTTTTTTTATTCTTAGTACTATTGATTTATTTATATATTTTTTGTAAATCACATTCTACCAGTATATTCCCGGTCATAATTTTATTACTTCAAAAGGAAGGTAAATATTTACTATGGCTCTAAGTGCTTTACATCGTTTTTTTTTTAAAGTCAGAGGCATGTATATGAAATATACCAGTACAAGATAAATTGTGTAAAAGAAGGCATTGTACATAAATTTGTGGTCCAGAAAATTTTTCCTTCTTAAAAAAGGAGTTAACCTTCAAGGTAGTCAAAAGATTTTAAGATTTTCATGTCCCGTTTATCATGTGTGCTGTCAGCAGATTTAGTCATTTATTTCTGTACATATAGTTTAGATTAGTGAACTTGATGTTGCTAACATTTTGTACATATACGCCTGTTTTTTCTCCCTCGTTGTAGTATCATTGGCCTGTATGTCTCCCTGGTGCTGGTAATTGGCCGCTTTGTTCGTCTCTATTTTTCCGGCAGCTCCTACAAAATTATGTTCCAGGAACTCCCCACAGTGGACAATATTTTGAATCTGTGTCTGGACATTTACATGGTGAGAGAGAGCCGGGATTTCCGTATGGAGGAATACCTGTTTTCCAAGTTGATCTTTTTGTACCGGTCTCCAGAAACTCTCTTTAAATGGACCAGGATTAAGTACAGCTGATAATTCAGATATTCTAAGTCATAGATACAGACTCTGCCAAAATGATTGAAATAGCTTGAAAACATTCAGGATACATAATGGTATGACATGATTAAACATTTTGGATTGGGATTTTTTATTATTTTCATTTATTTGAAAGAAAAAAGTGATGTATGTAAATCCTTACAGGGTATTCAAATTTCATGAATGTTAATATGTGAATATCATTTCTAGAAACACTCTGACTGAATTAAGTGCCTTTAATATTTACTTTCTCTCCAAGTGGATTTTTTTTAATTAGAAAATCATTTTTATAGGGGGAGGAGGATTATCTCCCTTTAATCATCTAGTTTTTAAATGACAGTTACTTTGGGTTTTTTTAACCACTCTTTTGCACCATGTCACAAGCATTAATATGGGAAAAAGGATTACTTTTTGAAAGAACTAGGTACACATGGCATCTATTTTTTCCCTCAAATTGAGGTTTTCCTATTAATTAAACTTCATTAATTGCAAGAAGATGAAGCTCAGTACTATCTAACTGGCAAATTTGAGTAGAGAAAAGTCACATTTCCAGATTATATGTAAAGGTAGTTTTATTGTATAGTGATATTGTATTTTCATAGCAGTCAAGCCCAATATGATACAATAAATTCAAATCATTTTAAGAAAAATTAGGGCAGGTATTCAACAATGCTTACTTCTTTCATAAGAATGATTTTGATTGGCATTATTTGTTGTTTAGGTAGACTCAGTTATATCATATATATCTAGTCAATAGCTGTTGTATCATCTCTGTGCTGTAAACTAGGGAATTTAACATGTGAAAAGTATAATCTTATCAAATATCTACCTCCTTTAGTCCCATAATTTGAGAATGGTTATTTAATTGAAGGCCTTTTTTTTTTTTTTAATTTAATTCGCACATGTAAAAATTAAATTAGGTTTGATTATAATTATTTTGTATGGAAAACAGAATTTATATATATCAATGTACTTAAAGATGATATTAATCTTTAAAGTAGGATTGGGGGGGGGGGGGGGGATGAATAAAAAAAATGACAGAATTTAAATGTCATGCCCTTGAATTCCTTGTTTTAATGTAATTTTATGCTGGATAAAAAATATCTTTAGTAACAGGTACAATTCTATATCCAGAGTAACAAAATGCTGAAATGGAGGACTAAACATCTTGCAGTGTATATATAGACAGTGTGTTTGTTTCTCATCTTACAATGTATATACCTATAGACAGTATGTTTGTTTTAAACTGGTGTTTCATTTATTAAATCATTCACATATGCTTTTTTAAAAATCATATTGAAGGAATGCAATTGTATTTTACAGTTCAATTTTTTAAACTCATCTCAAAATAACAGGTTAATGATCTCTTCAGAGATGAGTGCTTAGGCACTCTGTGTAAGTTAAAATAGCTGGTTAAGTATGGCTTAAAATTAACACAAATGACACATTATTATTGAATCTTATAATTACTAGTTTCCTTTTTACAAGTATTGAACGAAAACACTGAAATTTTTCAAACTTGAAATAAAACTGCTATATTGCTCGTTTACAGAGATCTGAATTTGTTTGAAAGAAATCCCCATGTATATGTTTTTAAGTTGTGTTATGTATATATATGTATTTATAATAATTATTATTTTAAAATTGTTTTAAAGAGAACCTTTTCATATAATAAGATGCAGAATATGCATTCATTTTTAAATAAATGGATATTTGATTCAAATTTTAATGACCAAAAACCCGTAAATGCCACTTGTTTTACACCTGAATGATTTACCTTCACAAGGTAGGTCAAACAATTACATCAAATAGCAATGAAATGGTTTTTATTTTTAAAGAAATAATTACAATTAGTTCTCAAATCTTTATGAATGAACCTTTTTTTTTCACCTTCAGAAAATGGTGTTAATGTATGAAAATTTATGAAAGTGGAGGGTGATTTGATTGGAGTCCCAGTGTATTTGACTGATAGGTTTACAATAATATATTCTTGGATTTTTATTATGTAATATAGCTTTATCAGGTAATTACTAGGAATACTAAATATATCACAGAACACCACAAATATATGGCATATTCAAGGGCCTATATCCTCATATTTGTGCTACAATAGTTTTGTGCGATTTTTTTTAATTCACACCAATGTCTTTTATCCTCTTGTCAGGTTTTCTTGCTCATATATCATTTTTGCCAAATCATGTGCAATAGTCATGTCACATTTGTCACTTTGTTGTCATTGAATAAATGCTTGCAACCAAATGTTGTCGATTTTTTTAAATTAAATGAATTAATTTTATTATATTTTTATGCCCCCTACTCAGAGATTTGAGGGCATATAGTTTTTGGTCAGTTTCTTTGTATGTTAATCTGTTTTTCCATAAAAACTATAACCTTGCTCATAACTTTTGAACATTTGGAGCTAGGGCTTTCATATTTCACATTGGTATTCCTTGTGACAAGACTTTTTGGGTACCAACATATTTAACCTCAAGACCTTGGCTTTAGAGTTTGACTGACTTCTGAAAAACTTTCACAACTTCTTTAAATATACACTGTACCAGTAACTGGATTTCTGCAGTTATTCCCGTTATTCCATATTTATATAATTTGAAAATTTTATCATTTCCGGAGGAGAATTAAAAAATTTTGCACAGCCAAAATTACTGTTTCTTTTATCTAACTATTTATTAAATATTGCTATTCACTGAGAAGCAATTGTTGCATTATAAATAACGGGTATCTGGAACTTTTCGATAACTAATTCTGCAATGTGCTACATATCAATTCATAAGTTCCTGGGAATAATCAACCCAAACTATCGATAAAAATCCTGTTTCTTCATGGTACAGGAAAAAAATCTATACAAGATGATCAAACTGCTTGTTTGTCAAGGATCGCAGTCTATGAAACAGGATCTTGGGATTTCAAAGAACACTTGGAGCTCATCACTAGGATAGAGTTCATGTTTTATCAATGGGTTTTTCCCATTTTTTTTTTTTTTTTTTTTTTTTTACATTTACATGTATTTTCCAGTTGTACACATTTCAGAGGAGTATGTGCATTTTTTTTCCTGTGAATGTCGGTTGTATTATGATAATGCTGACAAAAACCTTACCCCAAGGGTTTTTGCAAAACATGATCAACTGTCTCTTTGTTTACCAACCTTGTATCTTAATAAATTACAACAAAAATGTAAAGTTATTTAAGAGCCATCTTCACAGTGCACACTAAAGAGCTCTGATTGGTATTTTTATGTAAGAGTAATCTGCCCTTATTTAACACAATTTGTTATTAATTTAAAGATTTCTAATATTTTAATAGGCTAACGTAAATGCTAGGTACCCTATGTTGAAATTGCAGTTCAATGTTTATACATCTGTATGTTCAGCAAATATAAGTGTCTCAATGTGCAAAAAACATTTTGCTTCAGTGTATTGAGGGTTCTTCAGGATAAATGACGCTCACTTTTTTTCTGAAATCAGCAATTATATATATCATATAGATTTATGTTCAAACATAACTTGAATGTTTGCCAGAGTAAATATAGATATTTTGCAAGAATTTGTAATGATAAAATGTGTGCAAAATTTTGTATAAATTGAACAGATATATAAAATGGCACAGTGGCATATTTTGAACACCAAAGAATACTTACAATTTCTTTATATTTTAAGAATTTATAATATTTGTCATTTCTATTCAAAACCAGTCAAAAAAATGTATACCGACGCGTGCATAAATTTTTTTGTTCGTGTCATTTATCCTTAAAATCAACTACATGTATATAACATATTTTCAATTGATATATTTTTCAATAGAATGTATAGAGTACCAAGAATTTACAGAGCCATGTTTGCCCACAATGTAAATTCTCAGGGACTACTTTTGAGCTCCTTTCTTCATGACATCACATACATGTACATTTGATGTCACAACCATCCATTGAACTGGCAGTCAAATGTCATGAGAACGTTTATGACCAGAAATTTAGAGAGATTTCATGAATGAAGTGGAAAATACAGTTGAACTTCGGTATCTCGAACTCGGATATCTTGAATACCTTGGATATGTCGAAGTAATTTTGAAGTCCCAACTGCTTATTCCTTAAGTATTTTACCCGGATATCTCGAATCCTTGGTTATCTCGAAGTATTTTCTCGGTCCCTTCAAGTTCGAGATAACGAGGTTTGACTATATGTATTAATACTATCAAAATATGTAATAAAGGTTATTGACTGAATATCTGAAATATGCCCAATCTCAGTCTTTGTACAGCAAGCTTAGTCCGCTTTAACACACAAAGACATTTACAGATATTCAATCACTAACCTTTAATTAACGACGTAACTGCATCCTTGGATGAGAGATAATGATGATTGTAGGACCAAAGATGAATTCCTGCTTTCTTCTTCAGAAATAAAAAATACATATCAATGTTTTCAATTCTATTTATTTCATAATATTTCAAAGAAGAAAAAATGCTCTAAAATAGGTCAATAACTAAAATGTGGTTAAATAGTCTACATTTCATGCAATTATAATGTATGTTTATATTCAAGGAAAAATAATCCCATAATGAAGCTTCAGTCAGAATTCTTGTTACATTGCTTGGACTTGTTCTAATGTTCTGAACAAGATTTCTTCAACTAGCAACTACGTCTAATAACTTTGAACATGATTTTTGAATGTATCGAAAATGAAAAAAACATTAAAAAAAACAAACAAAGGGGGGAAAATGAAAAGGGACAACTTGGATAAAATTTTGTTTGATAATAAGTTCATAAAATGCATGGCGTATGAATACATTCATACACTATAAATAGCAAGAGTATGAATACATTCTTACACTATAAATAGCACCAGGAATCAGTGGCTAATCGTACAGAACTATAGGAAATCTGACACAGAAACCAGCAATGAGAGAGACATGAGTGGGGGAATTACTAACGAGATAAAGAAGTCCATTAATTAACCAAATTAAGTTAAGGAGTCAACATATTTTAGGTGACATTGAAATGTGCATGTCACCCCTGGTTAAAAGTCGAACATAACAATTGATTTGTGTGCGTTCACGACAAGGTATTACTTAAGCATGTTAGTCATCTCTCTCAATGAGTTTCCGTGTCAGAATAACTTAGTTTTTTGTACCAAAAAAAAAAAAATAGTAATAATAAAACTCAAGTCTAGATACAAATTTAAAAAAGAAAGCAAAATTATAGTATATCAAGCAGACATGAAAATAAGCAACAGCCAAACAAAACTACTCCATGAAAAATTTTCCAGAACACTTTTAAATTAAAGAAAAATATATATTCTTTGAACAAATTTATACAATATTTTGTTCACTGAAAAAATTCCCCATAAGGCACAATATTTTTGCATAGTCAATATATAACATTTAAAAAAAATATAGAGTTGTTCCCCTTGAACCACAATATTGGAAGAAAATTCATGGAAGACAATTTCCATTTTTTACCCAATTCCAACAAAAAAACTGAGAAAAATCTAACATTGTGTCACAGGAAAAACATTTCATTATCATTTAATCTTGACTATTAGCATACTGATGAATTCAGAGTTTGTGCAAAACTGGCTTCCAATACACTTCAAAGAAATCAACAGTCTTCAAGGAGTCTATTCATAATTCGTATAAATGTAAATGACATCATTTGTTTATTTTAAACAATTAGTACATTGTATGTGCATAGATAGTACTATTAATACATATATTAAGCAAAACAAAAAATAATCACATGATTAATATTCTTAATCTGTGATTTTACCACACTGGAATGTATTAATTAAAAGTGGATATACGCAAAATATACTGCTGTCTGCAGGAAAAAGTAATACATCATAAAATATTGATACAAATACCAAATTCAAACAGTATGTACAAATATTGTAGTGGAAAAGTGATAAATTGGTTCCTATCTATTACTAGGATTTCCTGAAAGCCTTAACTAGGCCTTGAAAACTGAACATTGCACTGAACTTACATGCATAAACTAAACATGCATGGGTTTTGTTACATTATTTTAAAAGCACTTGGACCAAAGTTTTAAAAATACTATGATAATCTGTTTTCACGGACTTCATTTGAACACAATGTGAAAGACTTGACTGAACTTGATTTCTCATATTCACTACCACACACATAATACATAAAAATAAATTAACTTCCTGAACAAAAATATATCCCTCGAAACAAATACTCACAAGTACTTGATGATGATAGACTACTTGACTAAATTGCTATACATTGATTATTGCATAAGTAAGTGTTCTTTGTAGTGTATACAATGTATTAATATTAAAAAGTTGTTATGATATTGAAATGACCATCAAACTAGAATCTCCTGATTAAAAGCACTCCAAAATGAGTATGATAAATTGCACAATAGTAAAGCACCTCTTAACATTAAGGCAAGTTTGTATTCTTACTAAATACAGAAATCTTGTATAACATTAAAACACACAATGTTAATACTTGGATCCAATCAGGTGCTGTCTTTCATGATTAAGCATCAAGTCTTTCTTATCAAATTCACGCTCACAGTACGGACAGACATAAACTTTGGTCCTGGATTTCAGCGGCGACTCAGTGGATGGTTCTTCCATGGACTTGGATTTCTTAGCCTCTTTTGGTGTTGTCTTGACGACAGGAACTTCAGGGGCTTGAGGAAGTTTCTCCCCTTGTTTGGCCAGCATGGCATGGACAGCTTCGGGGTCGAGTTTGGTGCTTGGGAAATGGAGCTGGACATGCTCCACCATACTCTGTTCCTGCTGGTCACTGAAGTCACAGTATGGACAGCTATGCTTCCCATGCTTATGATGCTGCTTGGAGTGTTCCCACAGCATCTCCTGGCTACCTGAGCTGAAAGGGCACCTGCTGCACTTCCAGTCTTGTGGCTTTTCTTCTTCACTTTCCATTTCACTATCATTAGGGCTGTCTTCTGCATTGAAGTACAGTTGAGGTTCCACTTCAGGGCTGGAGACATTCATTTGGTGATTACTTCTGTCCAGTTCCTCTCTACTGCTCATCTTGTGAAGTTTTATATGCTGGGCAAGGAGGTTCCAGCGGTCAATGCTGTATGAACACTGATTACAAGTGTAGCGTGCATTTATTTTGTGAAGGTTTTTGTGATATGCAAAGCTATTTTTGTTGTTGCAGGAGAAAGGACATAATTTGCAGCAGTAAATTTTCTTTCCACTGAACTGACGATCAGACATTCTCTGTAGAGCTTTCTCATCGACTGGGCTGGGGCTCTTTTTTGGCTGATCCATGGATAGGTTCTCTGGGGACATCACAGCTTTTGCATCATTTTCGAGAGCATAGTTGCGGTTGAGGAAGACAATGTCTTCAGGAGAGGAGTTGTAGTTTGGCATCTTGCTGTGGACCTTGCGGTGCTGATACAGGAGATTGAGACGGTCAGCGCTCCAGTTACAGAAATCACAGATGTATTTCTTATTCAAACCATGCATGTGTATATGACACTTAAAGCTCCTGAGTGCGTTACATTTGTAGGGACACTGGGTGCAGGTATAGCGGATCTTATCTTCACTGCCCACTGTTCCTGACAGATTCATTGACATCTGCTGTTGGAGAGCAGTGGGGTCCATCTCTGACAGACTGTCATCAGAATCCTGCCCTTCCATTTCTATATCAGAAGTTTTCTTGTCATCCAGGCCTTCAAATTCAGCTTGTTCTAAAGCTGCCATCTCTTCATCAAAGTCTCTTTCTTCTGACATGGCATCAGTCTCTTCAGTGTTCTCATTATTTTCATCTGAGAAATCTTTTATGTTATCTTCTCCATTGGTTGAAGTAGATTCTGGTGTCTGAATGCTGCTCAAGGCTTTCAATCCCTCTTCATCATAGGGATCCAAGACAATGTCATGGTATTTAGTAGATTTTGCATTAGTAATGGCACTGTTCTCATGGAACTTCATGTGCTGCTGTCTCAAGAAGTTTCTAGTAGCACTGTAGTCACAGTACTGGCACTTGAATTTACTCTTGACAGTGTGCTGTCTACGGTGTTTGCTGATGTTGTTCTTGCAGAAAGAGAAGTAGGGACATCTAGTACATCTGTACCTTAGTCTGCCAGTGCTGTTCTTCAAGTTATTCAAAACGGTCTTTAGAGTCTGTGGTGTAAGTTTGTTTTCAGCAGATGTCATTTCCTTCTGAAGGTCCTTAGGCATTAGGTCAATTTTGCTCAGGAACTTGTCCTGACTAGTGGGTGTCTGGTTAGCTGCCTTGATTTCTTCCTCTTCATTCTGGCTCAGGTCTGGTTCGTATGGTTCTCTGTGAACAGCCAGGTGCTTTAAGAGAAGGTTTTGCGAGTCCACACTAAACTCACAGTAATTACATTTAAATTCTCTATCCAGATTATGGAGAGTCAGATGGTACTGAAGCATTTCTACTGTCCTGCATTTGTACGGACAGTTGGTGCAGGTCGGCAAGATCAGGTTGGAAGTTTTCTGTGTCTGGTTGCTCCAGATGACAGAGTTGTTGTTCTCCTCTACAGAGTTGCTGGATTCCGGTACAAATGGAATTTTGCTTGGTGACCGTTCAATGAAGATAGGGTTTTGTGGATGGAGGCATTCATAATGGATTTCAAGCTGTCTAAGGTTGTCCACTCCAAAATCACACTTCTCACACGATATTCTCTTGCTGCTGCTGTGAAGCTTAACATGACTTACTGTGTTATTGGGATTGCCATTGACAAATATGCACTTTGGACACTTGTAGCTCTTTCTTCCATTGATGGTGCAGACCTGAATGGGTACGCCATACCATGTTGTTTCTTCTTTGATGATCAGGACTGGGTTTTGTCCCTTGGCTGCCATTGTATGATAAACTCTGATCTCATTCATGGAAAAATTGTAAGCCTCGTCACTGATGTCTGGGCTATCATTTGATAACCCAGTGAAGGAACCATCCAAACTATTGTTCATGCTCTCATCAGGAGTTGATGGTCCTTTGGAATGCATGTCTTCAGGGTAAACCTTGCTCCCTGATCCGGACGTCAGGTTGATCTTCTCCTCTGGTGTTCCTCTCCAGAGATCCCCATGAGTGCCCTTCATGTGCTGGTATAGCAGGTTAAGCCGGTCTATGCTGTAGTCACAGAATCTACAGGTGTGTCTACAGTTACTGCCATGTCTCTCGATGTGACGGAGGTAAGTGACGGCATTTGGAGCCGTGAATGAACACTTGGTACATTGGAATGATCTTCCTCTCTTGTTGGGGCTGGTCGATTTTCTGGCCTTTTCAAGCAGGGTTCGAGCAACAAGAGTAGATGATTGTGAAATTGGAATGCCAGACTTATTGTTGTTAGCATCTTGTGAGAACTTGGAAAAAGTGCTGGTGCTTGGAGTTGATGATGAAGGAGAACTGTACACAGGATTAGGTTTTTTTTCTGCAAGTGAAAATGGAAGTTTGGGCTCAATGGGGCGATATCTTGATTGATTCAATGCATTTTTGAGTATGGATTGCTGGAAATGCTGTTGCTCCAACTTTTGTTGCTCTAAGAGTTTTTGTTGCTCCAACTCTTGTTTTTGAAGCTCTTGTTTCTGTTGCATACGTTTTTGTCGTTCAAGGTAAGGATCACTCATCCTGGTAGGCAGGGCCATGCTTGGTGTCTCTCCCATCTCCTGCATGCGTAATTCCATTGGATGATGAGTACTGGCATGATGATAGAGTTTTGTGAGGTTAGGGAATCTGGCTGGACACCACTCACAAGGGAACGGCATCAATGAACTAGTAGGCTCTGGTGGTTCACAAGTGGTGGCACCAGTAACTCTCTTGGATTCACTTGAAATTGAAGTCAAGCTTGAGCTGGAGAGATCCAGAGCACCACTCTCCCTGGCTTTGATACTGGAACCTGAGCTGTTCAGATCACTGGGACTTTGTCGAGAGTCCTCATCCATCATGCTGTTGTATTCATCAGCATCTTCATTCATGTTATGAAGATACTCATATTCCTCTGTGTCCATATTATCAAAGTCATTATTCTCTAAAATTTCAGCAAATTCACCACATTCATTTGGATCAAATTCAGGATGAAGTCTCATGTGCTGAACAAGAAGTCCTTTGCTGAAGACATTATAGTCACAGTAATAACATTTCAGGGCATCGTCTCCTCGAGGCTGGTGCATAGCTTCGTGCATAGTAAGGCCAGATCGCTTGAAGCAAGTGTAAGGGCACTTAGGACAACGAAATTGTTGAACAGGTTTTCTGCGATGTTTCTGCAAGGTTCTGTTAGACACCTGTTCAGCACATGGGTCCAGTGAAGAATTGTTACCTTCAGTGGGTGTAACTTTGCCAGCATGGGTTTTCTTATGCTGGAGCAAGGAAATCAGATCGGTTCCTTGGAAGTCACACTGCTTACAGTTGTATTTCCCCAAAGAAGCATCTTCTTTTTTCATATCACCATGGGTTTTCATATGAATTTCAAATGAATATTTCTTGAAGGTGGAATATGAACACTTATTGCATTTATATAAGGTTCTGTCTTCAGAGTCTTGGTCCTCTGGGTAAATGTCCCTTTGAGGAATCTGATATTGGAATTTCCCAGAGGAAGTCTGTTGAGAGGAAGGCCTGGATTGCAGGGTCTGGTCATAATGCCCATAGGTTCTGATATGTTTCTTTAAGTCACACTTCCAGCGGGAGCTGTATCCACATACAACACAACTAAATGGTTTGTTTTCTGAGTGAAGTACAGCATGACGTCTCAATTCTGCAGGACTCTGAGCAATAAATGGACACTCAAAGCAGTGGTATACTCCTTGATTAATGATGCTCTTAAAAACTGGTTGCTGGCTACTGGACAGACTCAGCATCTTTTCGTAATCATCATAACCAGTTTTGTTCATTTCAGCCATGGACATGATTGCACTGTTGTTGCTTGCAAGAGCTTCTGCCACCGATGACAGTGCATAGCGACTTTCTATATTCTTCTGCATGAATTCTGATTGTGAGCCTGGGCCTTGTCTTTGGAAGGATCCCTGAGGCATGACTGTGACATTGGGTGGTGCCGAGTGCTTCTTTAGTTTATTGGTGTCGATGACATCTCTTATGGTACCTCCTCCACAGCGCTTCAGATGTTTCACCACATCCCATTTCCATTTACTCTTGTAGCTACATCTAGGGCAGTGGTAAGGCTTTTCGTCAGAATGGTTCTTCATATGTTGAGTAATTTCAGATGGCCATCTAGCTCTGTACTCACATATCTGGCACTTGTAAGGTAGAAGTACATCAGAATTTTTGTCCTTGTCATTTGGCCGAGGCTTAGAAGGGACACTGGCTTGCTTTCCGTTGTCCATTCTCTTCTTAACTGCATTTATAACAGCCATCTGGGTCTGAGGATTGATGGAACAGGTGCCAAACATTTCATTTGGATCATTTCCCATCTCATCTTCTGGAGGAATGAGGTTTTCCATGTCCCGCAGAGCAGAAGTTCCAGAAATTTTCAGACTTCCTTGGGAGTCCTCACTTTCTGATTCAATGCCTCTGGAATCCTCATGTCTGTCATAACTGAGAGCACCTGCTGTGATATACTCCTGACGATCTGCCTGAGACTGGTCCATCAGATTTGGCATATCAGTATCTGACAGACGTCTCTTCTTCCTAGATGGTTCCTCATAGGACAAGCTATCTACACTTCTTTTCTGGAATGTGTCAGTGTCTATAAGAGCTGCCGCTATACTTGTCATAGGATACCGCTCACCAGGAAATCCTGTGACAGGGGAGAGCACTGGGGGTGATTTCATCATGGAATTCTGGTCAGGTTTGGTGGTCAAAGGAGCTGGAGAGCTGCCTTGTTCTCTACGCTTGTATGGATTGGTCAGAGAATTGTGGCTTTTCTCGAAGTGCTTGACTAGATCCCATTTCCACTTGTAGGTGGAGCCACAGACCATGCAAACAAAAGGTCGCTCCTCAGAGTGGGAGACGGCATGCTTCTGAAGTTCAGCTGGCCATTTAGCAACAAAGTGACACATGCTGCATTTCAGATACTTAGGTTCATTGGGTCCAGAAGTGGATGCTTCAGATACGGCAATGGAACCAATGGAATTCAGTGGCATTTTCAGGAGGTGATATGTTTGCTGCAATCCATGAGGAATCTTCTGTATAGCTTCCTTGTGTTCGTGGATTTTCTCGGAATGGTTTTCTCCAAAATGCTTGTTCAAATCTTCGACATTATTGAAATGTTCTTGACATTCTGCACACTTAAAAGCTCGTTTGTTCAAATGTAAAGTCATATGAGAGCTATAGTCTACTAAAGTTTTTGCTACAAAGGAGCATCTATTGCACTGAAGTATAGGACTATCTTCTTTCTTGTTTCCACTGAGATCAAGACTAGATGTTTGTTCAGACCACGCATGTTCACTTTTAATGGAGGGAGAAGAGTGGGATCCCTTCAGGTAAGGACTGAAATCACTCTCCTTTTTGACAGAGAAGTCAATGGGTTGTTCACGACTAGATTCTATCATGGATCTTGGATACAAGGCCTCAGGTTTGCTTGGTGAGGGGTCACCTCCATTGACTGATATACTGTCTGTGATGAACGGTCCAATGAAGCGAGGCATCACAACAGATGACATGCTGCTATTCTCCATGAGGTCAGCACCTGGTTGGTAACGCTCCACCATACTGACTGGGGTCTCTGACCTTGACCTTTCACTTCTTTGACTTTGAGATGAAGGTGACAGACGGTCGCCCCCTTTTGAGGTAGGGAATCTATATGTATATTGCATGTGAGTAAGGCTGTTGAGTTTGGCAAGCCCAGGGGGTGGAACACTAGAATCAGGAATGTCACCAAAATGTTTCTCTTTCCAGTGTTTGTTCAGAGATTTTCTCCACTTGTACACATTGCCACATTTTGAACAAGCGTATTTTATTCCTGTGTCATCCTGAACTTCAAAATATTTTCCGGGATCCACTTCCTGTCTGGTTTTGCGTTTCTTCTTCTCCACGACAGGTGTGCCATCAGATATGGGTGCTAACTCATGGGACTCGACCTGAGGTAGATTATCCTCTTCTTCTTCCTCGTCTTCATCATCGTCATCATCATCTACAACGTTTCTAACAAAGTTAGGACCATGTTCATCCATCTTCATTAGTTCACTAAAACTTCCACTTCTATCCTTGCTTTCATTAAAACTGCCATCCAAATCGTAAGGACTCAGTAAACTGCTATTGTCTTTCCCAGTGAAGTGAAGTTTTCGATGACGAGGTAACTTTTGTTTATACTTGGTGGCATATTCACAGATGTCACACTCGTATATAATGATGTCAGGTTGATGTTCATCCTTCTGGTGATGTAGGAAAGTTTTGGCACTTGTGGAACTGAACTCACACTGGTTACAGACATAAGTGCGATTCTGAATGTTTCCACTACGGGTTGGTGTTTTATTTGATGCATGGTCATCCTCTGCAATTACGAGTTTCCCTTCCTCATCTTGTTCTTCATGTTCACTTCCAAAGTTACTGGCACGTTCCACTTCTGAGGAATCCATCTCTAGTTTTTCTAACTTGTCACTTACACTGTCACCTTTATTTTCGTCAACAGACAAATTTTCTTTGTTCATAGAATATGAGGTCTCGTTTAATTTAGAATCAGGGATATCACTATTCACGGGAGAAAGTGACTCTTCTGTGTCCTGGAAGGCACTTAAATCGGGGTTTTTATTGTCATCAGATTTTGGTTTGTCATCAATGTCATGAGAAACACTTGATCGGGTCGCTATTTTTTTCACAAGTGAGACGTGACTGTTACAATTAATGCTGTTAGAACTTCTCCGTCTCTTACTTATGGAGTTAAGTATATCAGGATCATTTTCCTGAGAATGTGCGTATTTCTGGTGATTTAGAAAGTCTTTGGGATCAGTGCATGTGAACTTGCACTGCTTACAGATCCGGTTTCTCCCACGGGTCTTTAGTTTTTTTTCATCAGCGGCGACCTTTTCTCCAGTTTTGCGTCCCTTGTCCAACATGATTCAAGAGGCCCTGATGATGTTGTGTAATCCTGAAAATAGACATGACAATTTTGAAGGACTTTAAATACTTATCTCTTTTGAATCATTCAAATCACTATTGTAGTTTCAAGTATTCATTAACCAAAGTGGAATTGCTGCTTAAAACAACTCAAAAAATAATATGGTTGTAATTGCAGTTTTCTACTTTCCAACTCGCTCAAAAAAAAAGTTATAATCTTTAATAAAATTAAATTCTACACCAAATAATATAAAAAATATCTTTATCAGAGTGGAACTATTGCATTTCAATTTAAATATATTCAGTGATAGGTATACTAAAAAGTCCTGGACACAGAAAAAAAAATCTTCATCTTGTAATAGAAGTCACAATATCTCAGAGTGTTCAGCCATTGTTGAACTTGAAAACTTTTTTTTTACCATGTCGTATGTTAAGAATGCATTGTTTTTTATTTAATTATTTTTTTTTTTTTTTTTTGCTCTGACAATGTCTTATGTAAAGATTTTTTTTAAATCTCTGTTTCTTGTTAGGGCCAAATCTGAGAATTCTAGGTAATGAGACTACATCTCGACACACTGAAGTGTTTATTAACAAGCTTATAAACTGAGAGATGGATTAAGATTTTATGCTAAGCGACAGAGAGGTCCGTATGATTTCCTATAATTATCTGTTCCTCTCGTTTTTGTAGCCAGTCCAACTTCCCTTACCTACATCCTGTTACTAGAACGACATTGTTCTTTGTTTCCAGATTAAGAAATTAACTTTTAGAAGCAAATAAACATGTACAAACAAATAAAAGAAATTGGAAGCAATAAATGTTGTTTTTCTCCTGAAGTAAAAAGAACATATTGTTCTGTTTAAATTGTCTGTTAATGATTAAATAAAAACGGAATTTGGCGTACAGGTGTGGCGTAATGCTATGTTTATACTTCTGATTATTGTTTGATCATTTTTTCATCTTATGTAAATATCTTCCTTACTTACTTATATATCTGCCAATAATGGACTCAATAATGGGGATAATAATAAATTGTTTCCTGAATTTAGAATCACTTAAAATCTAACAGTTGACATAAAATTCTGGGATCATGACCACTATGATCATAAATAATTTCAGTAAGTATTGGACGTCCAAATAAACACGGACCATTCAGGTAACAAAGGCAGAAAAGGAAGCTAGAATTCATATAAAGCACAGAAATCTGATCCCGACAATTTAATAAGAACCAATGGTATCCCCTCAACCAACAGCAGAAAAAATCCTAGACTTTGGGGATTGTTTAAACCTTTTTGGCACGTTTTATACACATGGATGTAAATAACTTTGAAGGAAGGAAAGTTAATAGATAGAGTTACACTTTGAAGTACTTTACGACTAATATTCTAAATGTCTTCTAGCTAAATGTTACAAAAATTTTATACATAGATTTCCTGGTAAAAGCTTACATGCATAAGAAAAGAAAGTAACTTTTCCCATTCTTCCTTTAATGGCATACTTTCTTTGTTGTTAAATTGGGGAAGAAATTACAGCCTTGTTTGAATAATTGCTTCTTTTTAGATCATTAAAAAAAAAAAAAAAAAGAAATTCCAAAAAAGGATTGAAAAACAACCTACCATACTGCCAGAAGACTTCTATTCCACAAGCAAAACAATAGAACAGTCCATCATTTGCACATGAGTGCATTCAATAAAGTCAGTATTAAAGGATGTAAATTGGCGAGAAAGTTTTTCAAGGTGGGCTAAAGACCTTAGAAAGCAGTGACCCAAGTATACAGAGATCTGCAGACCGGCCGCCGTATGTAACACTCAAGAGGGGGATGGATTATGTGTGTGATGCTGAATCAACGACAGTCTGTGACACTGCTTGACAGCCGCGATAGACGAGTCACCCGTTCCAAGTATCGCGCACAACTAACCGCAGCCTTTATCTCCCACTAATACTTTCATAGTACATCATATAAGTACGTGTTTGCACTGGTGCCTGAATTTTATCTACTTGAGATTTGAATTTCATCCCTCAATAATACAGTCTCTAATCAGTCTAGCATTCAGTTCAAAGTATATCTATACTTTATCAATAATTTCCACCTGTAGCAGGTAAAGAGAGTCATAAAAAATCATCACCATTATCACTTCACAAAACCAACATGTCCTAAAATCATCAACGCGCAAGATGTACCAAGATTGACTAACATCCAATCAAAACTTACATAGTTATGAAGCTAAAAAAGACCAACTTCTCGAGTCGTATCTGTTGAATTTCAAGCATTGAAAAATTTTGTTAGAGAGGTCAACAGAATGAAGGATGTTCAAATCAGCTGAGAAGGATACAAGGGGCTCAAGAGAATCTCCTATAAAACCACTTAGGTTCCACCTCTTTCCTAAAAATTTAGTCTGTAACCATTAACTTTCACTTAAAAAGAGGATTCCATTTCAAAATCTGAAACTCATTGAAAATGAGAAAAAAATCATTCTTAATTTTCATCCTTGTCCAGTTAATTAGATTATAAAATTTTGCAAAACTCACCATTATGATTTTGAGTTACGAATTTCAAAAGGGTGATCTTGCCAATGAGTGACATATCCTTATTTTATCCAATATTATGCAAAACTTAATTCCTTTTGTTGACTAACTGTATTCTGATGGTAAGCAGGAAGGATTAATGGTCTGATATACAAGGACTTTCACAAGATCTGGGGAACACACATTCTCTCTACATACTTGTACTAAGTATGGAAGAAGAATTTACATTCTTCTTTAAATGGTCGCAAAGGTTTCCTGCTTATGGCATCCACTCTCGTTGGATAGAAAATGGCACCCATGGAAACACAAGTGTTTCCTTCTTGTTGACGCCAAAAAATGAATAGGACTAGCGTATCAGACTGAACAAAGAATTTCATGTCGTTTACAGAACTATTTTTCAGCAGATAAACACATGGTGAATATTTTAAGATGGTACTTATGTTATGGAATGTCTCCTAGATTGTACATGTATGGAATGTCTCCTGAAAATTTGTGCATGTAGAAAACAAGAAAGCACCCCTCAAATTACACAATGTTTATCAAAGAATAGAAATGTATTGATTTTTTTATCATTGGATATACCAGTATTTAACTGTACCAAAAATACACTTTTCTCAAATTATATATCTAGCAATTTATATATATAGAGAGAGAGAGCTTGCTTCTATTCTTAATACAATGACATCTTGTGACAAAAAAATGTAATAAGCTGCTAAATATAAAACACAGAGGTACTACATACGCCTGTAATAGGGATTAATATATAGTGTCGGTAACATCTCAAAATCCATTAGATCATCGAGATCCTGGATAATATCATCGGGAGTCACAACCACCTTACGACTTCAATATACAAACATGTGACGTAATTAGTCAAGATCACTTTGTATTTCTTACCATAGCATTACGAGTTAACAGGATCTGCCTCAAAATCTGTCATGATTGTTTACAGAACTTTAATGACAACAATTCTCTAATTACAAATGCAAAAAAAAAAAAAAAAAAAAAAAAAAAAAAAAAAAAAAAAAAATTGGCATTTCTTAAAAATTCTTTTTCAGTTATTAATTATGCCACTAAAATCTAGCTGCTTTAAGAAATTGTTTCAGGATTTTCTTCCGGGCTTGAAATGCCATGTGTCAAACTATAATAAAATGGAGAAAGTGTTTTTTATATGTATGTATATATAAAGTGTACACCACACCTGAAAGGTAGTTCTTGGGATATCATTCTTTTGTGAGGTAGTGGTGCATTCATGTTGAACTGAAACTTGACTTGAAAACTAAGACATGGATTTCTCAAAGAGATGTTATTTCTGAGGATACCTTATGTTTATTTTGTGAAAACTTTTAACTTTACTTTGGAAAACAACTCAGGTGAAAATGACACCTGAAAAACAGGATACATATCCAAATTAAGTCTTAACCCAACTAAAATCTATAACTCAATACAACTCTGTATATTGAGAGAATTTTTCTTCAAAGGTTAAAATCAAGATTAAAATCCAAAAATCTACTATCCTTTGAAGAACAAAAATTTGTGATAAAAAATGAAAGTACTAACCATTTTAACCATTAGTTGTGAAAAAAATGTCCAAGTAATATAATGATATATCCACTAGTTAATACATAGGGCCCATTTGTAGGTACACAGAATTTAAAGTGGTCATGTGGTACGGAGAAGCTGAAAACAATCACGGCTCTTTCTCTGTCACTCTACTAACACAAACTGACTCTGTCATTCGACTCAGGTGAGGTCGTAGAAATTGATTACCTTAGTTCCTGTGTCATCACTAACAGCCAAAGCATTCACCCTCAAAACTAATGCCAAATTACATGATGTGCCTTGGAGCTAATTCCTAGAAGACTCAGGTAAAAGTTTCTGTGACCATCAAAGACTAATTGGTGCCTAACCTATTGGATTGATTGTACGGCCTGAGGACATGGTTTCAGAGTGGAGCTCTTAATGTGTCTGATGCCTAAACTGTTAATAACCATCTCCCCTGGTTAGAAATACCTGAACAGTTGAAACAGAATATTCTGCATTTTGTTTATTTATATATTCAGGTAAACAGCCTAATATACTTTTAGCATACACCCAACAGTGGTCAACAAAGCTGAAAAAAGGGAAATTACTCCTGAAAACTTATCATTACACCTGAGAGGTTTTTACATGAAATGTTGACCTTTCCTTGCTGACGACATGATGCTTGCCTCACCTGGATATTTAGGTCTTACTGCATTAACAGAACTTAATATAAAGTTATGTAGCAATAGTAGAAATTGCTTTGATTGACTTAAAAAGCACAGCATCAAAAAGCCCTTTGACATCTTTGAAGTAAGAATACAAATGCCACCCCTTGAACTTGGAGGGGTGTGCTAGCTCCTACCTCTGCTATATAGAAATTAATCATTGACTCCATACAAGACAGCTCCGACACATGACAATTGAGAAAGCACACGATTCCACAGCTGAGAGAAGAATTCTCCCCAAGGGCCCACTTTTATCATGCTGGTCTAAAGTTTGGTCGCCTCCTATGCTTTTGGCAGTTGACATTTTTTACCTATGTTTGATGTGTATGGAGATGCAGTATTTTCTGTGCCAGCTACGGTTATGACAAGATAGGTCCATCACCCTCATCAGAATTCCACCGTACACCCATTTATAACCCCGCCCCTCCAATATTGTCAACTTTTGACATTGTTTAGGAATTACAAAAAAAAAGATCAAATTTGCTTCTTATATGATTCACAAATGATTTGTCTTTAGTATTTTCCCATACCTTACAAAATAAATACTTGCCTTCATGATTTTAAACAAGATGAGACCTCATTACAAAATGCCTTAATTCTTCCATCTCCTTACGTTTAAATTCTTAGAATGAATATTTCCTTATTCTTACAAAAATGCAGTAAATAATATGGAAATTAATAAAATGTTATGTATATTTTGATATACAAGCTATATCTGCAGTACATCAAAATATCATTCATAGAAAATTTCCCTATACATAGAGCAGAGTGCAAGAAGGTCACATTGGCTCTCCTTGTTTTAAATGGAATCCAATAAAAAAATATTGAAATTTGATTAAATTCTGTCAATGTAATAAAAAGATAGAGCCCATCATTAACTGTCTACGTTTCTTTACATCTGCAATACACATACATACCAAAGGGAGTCTAGGAAGAAATTGCTGGCACTAGAATGGCAGTGAGGTCTGTGAATTTAGTTCCACTCATTTCAAAACTCTGATAAAAATATTTCCTCATAGGGAGACTTAATTCCTTGTTTTGCATTGAAAATATTCAGGTCTCTGTAGGGCACAGGAAATATGTATCTTTTCAAACTTTGGTTATCTTTTATTTTTGAGAGCTTTACGTTTTATGATCATGCCAAGTGTCATTTTTTTTTATTGTGGTTGACCACGCTTGACAGAGCTTTAACAGGATTGTCTAAGAAATATGGAATTACAACTTCACACCTTGTTGAAATTCTAGAATATTTTGAAATTCTGAGAAACTTTTCTTACTTAGTAACAATTTTTGAATTAAATCTTAAATCCTTTTCAGCTGCTAATTTTGAATGACATCATAACATAGTGTCTCATTGCTGAAATATGACCACCTCATAGTATGTCATTCCAATTTAGCAGAACTTTCCTCTCAAATTCATCATTTTATATTTGTCCGATCATATCCAACTTCACATTCATCATATCCCTACATGATGGATGATTGACACTCCATGCCGTTTTCACTTCATTTGTTGGAATTTTTCTTATGATGTCAATCTAGTAATGATGCGTAATTAAACCATGTTTCATCTGCCTTAATGCAAATTTCAAATCTAGTCTTGTGCAGTTCATCAGAAATAAGTTTATATTAAAGTTTAAGCAGTTGATTATTAATTTTCATTGTTAAATAATTAAGTTTACTAAACACTTTTTCTGTTAATTTGAACATAGACAAGTTGCTGAATCAATGGTAAATATTAATTTTAGTATTTCAATAAACCTTGACTAGAAGCATACAGGTAAAGTACAGCCCATCAGGTGTTAAAACTTTATTTGATAAAACAAGGAACTTTTATAATGTTCCGTCTTATAAGTAAGTCGTAGTAAGACAGAACGATGGACTATATAATGTCCTACTGGAACTGTCAATAACATCATTTCTTCCCGTTTTCCCAATTTACAGTACTTAGATGAGAATGATTTAACAAACTTGTGACCTTCTGGAGAATTAGGCTCAAATTCATAAAACCTTCTCAAATTCAACATGAAAGTTAAATTACAGTATTACAATATATTTTTAATAGCATAATATTTCCTATTTCCTTACTCTACAATATCACTTTTTTAAAGAATGCAATTATGTCAACCTAACTGCGTCTGAGGAAGAAATTTTCAAGCCTAAATCTTTTCAGACACCTTCAATGAAAAGGAACTTAATTTGATTTGGGAAAAAAAAATCTTTAAAGCATGAGAGTGCATAAAATATTGTACAGTCATTGTAATAGAGTGGAACTGGGAATGACAGTGTACGAGCCATCAAGAGGCCGACGATGACTTTTAACACTTCACGATCTCATCATAAGCATCTCTCGTGTAACATGTACCTACATCCTTCCTAAATGCAGTATCTCAACAATCGCAACAGCCAAAATCTCGGAACTTTACTTATACAGCGTTAACCACAACCAACTCACTAATAGAGCTATCGCAATATAAATCAAAAAACAAAATTAATCTGTTTAACAATTACAATGGTAAACAAATTTTTTTATGAACTGCTGATTGAATATTACATGGAGATTATTAAATTAAGACCTCTCCTTTATCTTCGACAGTTCTATCCTGATCTGTAAACACGACATTACGTCTTCTCCATTTAAAGTCAAGAAACATTATCAATTTGATCAAACGCTTTTGACGAGTTCCCACTAATCTCCCTTTCCCATCTAAAGGAACATTATCAAAAACACTGACTTAGACGGTTCTTATGACAAGCAAATTTATCACCTCCTCATCTTCAATAAATGGAAAAAGAAAATCCATATTTTGCAAAGGACATTAAACTATAGGACTCCCAAAAGTTTAGTGGTTTTGTACTTCTATCAGTCTTAAATCTTTATACACCTGAGAGCAAATTATCTCCTGCCCGTTTATTACTGGAAAGCAAATTTGCCATCATTTTAAGTGCTTTACAATTGATTTTTGTTTAGGAAAGTAATTCATTTAACTCTAAAACAAAGCCATGCTATATACAAGATATTAATAAAAG